AAAGGGAAAAGAAAAAATATGAGAAAAGGAAAAAAATGGAAATAAAGTCTTTGCAAATAGGGAAGGGTGGAGGGGGTGAAGGGAGGGCAGGGGAAGTGTAATGGTACAAGATCCCAATGATGAATATAACTGTATTTTATACCGAAAATGTACCAATAAACTTAATGGGAAAAATAAATAAATAAATAAACAAACAAACAAACCACCCCAACAACTCAGTGGCTTAAAAGAACAATCATGTATTATCTCTCCTGGCTCTGGGCTCAAGTGGAGGTTCTCCATGTAGTTATAACTAGATGGTGATAGGGGCTGGATTCCTCTCAAAGGCTTCTCTGCGGGGTGGAGCCTCAGCTAGGCCATCAGGCACTAATCGCGGCCTCTCTGTGCAGCCTGGCCTTCCTTGCAGAATGGTGCCTGGATTCCAAGATCAAGCATCCCCAAAATAACCAGAAGCAACTGTTCCCACTTCTTAAGTCACACAACATCACTTAACCTGCCGTCAGAGTCCCACCTGATTCAAAGACACAGACAACTCCATATGGAAGGACGATCAACATCACATTGTAAGACAATGTGAAAGTCTTGCTGTGACCATTTGGGAACACACATTTTGTACAGGTCCCCTTTCTACGTGATTCCTTAGGACCCTCTTTATAATGCTGTATTGTGACACTTAAAACACTGTTTGAGACTCTCTGCCTATTTGTAATCTATCTCTTCCACAAAAAGAGCTCCACAGGAGTATTCACATTATTAAAATAATTTCTGTAATTCTGGTGTATAGTAGATATTAAAACTTTTTTATTGTTGAATCAATGAACAAACAAGTGAAATTTAGACTTCAAGTCAGACATATTTAGAAATATTTCTGATCCATAAAAATCCCTTAATCTCAATCTCTCTACACCCCTTCTCCTTCCTTCTTTCCCTCCTTCCCTCTCCTTACTGTAGCAAGAGAAAGACTTTTAGGTATTTTTGGCCAAGAACAGAAGTGAGAGATAAACTTGCAAACTGACTTCTCTACGTTTTTATCTAAATCTCTTAAACTGAGGCAATTTAAAGGACTGTCAGCATAAGGACCATTATAACTTTTATGTTTCATTAATAACATAGTTTGAACTTTAATCAATTTATCTTTAATTAATAAGGTTCCTATCAGAAGTGTGAAGACGTAACAGAATTCAAACATCATGTTTGTGAGCATCAAATATTAAATCCAACATTATATCTAAATTTATCAGCAATAGAAAATGCTCATCTTAACATACAATCAGAATAACTTGCAGAGTTAAGTTTTTCCTCAAAATTGGTGGGATTATTTTATGACAAGCATTCTTAAAAGGAAACATGTATAATACCACTGTTGCTCAGTATGCCAAATGAAACAGTTTAAAACCAGTCCAGGAACTTAGTGTACTCAAGTGCAAACATACAATTTAAAAGTATTTTTACTCATAAATTATATATTTTTGTAAAATCTTACTGGATATAGTCATTCCAGCCTAAATTATCATGGTACAATCAACTTTTTTTTTCCTGTCAGCAAATATAACCATAAATTCATATAATTCAAAACTTGAAAATTAGTTAAGCTATCCTACAGCCTGAAGAGGGCTCACATGAATTCCATACACTAAAGTGCTTATTTTAAGAACCCCTGTGCCTTGTGGTACATGATCGACAATTTCACTACTGTACCAAATGTCATTAATCAGTCCTTAATTTATGGAGACTATGTATATAGACTTTTTTTATCATCCTCTCACAAGGCACCATCATTAATCAAGTCTCTCTACAATCATGGACGGATGTTCATCAGCAACACTTACCAATCAGTATCTGACCGCTCTTCATGGCAGATCCTCCTGGCAACAGGCCATGGACCACAAGCCTCTCTCCATCGCCCTGCTTTCCAGTTCTTCTCCAGCTCCACTTGGTCTGATGGATAATTCCAACCAGCACTTCCAGAAGTTTGAGCTGCTGCTTGGGTTTGGTGACAGTTAGCTTTTTGGGGTTTACATACACACTTACGTCTTTGTACAGCTGGTGGACAATGACCCCTGTTTTCTGATTACACTGATGTTTTAGAATGGATATTGGCCCATTATCATTGCTATTTTTTTTATTGTAGCGCTTAGGTAAAAGTCTTTTGCTTCTTAAAATTTTGGTAAACCGCTTGAGTTTGGGTTCATATTTTTTTCTTTCTTTGTAATCATCCTCTTCAATGATAATTTCATTTTCACTGAATCTGACATGGTTCACAGTCGGTGGTATTACAGGAAGGCGGCTTTCTTCTTCCTCACTCAATTCCAAATAAAACAGCTCTCCATTTTTCTGTACACTATCTAGCCATTCAGGTTCCAGATCACTATGGAAGAGAGAAAAGATGATCTGAATAGCAGTTTAATGTAAGAAAACAGTTTCATCTTCCCATTAGGGAGTGAGAATGGAGGTAAGAAGGCCCAACTTCTTTTACGACTTCAAATTTTCCCTTAGCCTTTATGGTTTATTGTGAACATCAACATTATTTCCAGTAGGGTGCTTTTTGTAGAGTCTTAAAGAATGGGAGCTGGGACTAAGGCATAGTGACAAAAGGAAAACCAGAGGAGGAGGGGCACAGGGAGAGAAGTGTGTGTAGGGGGGACCCTTTCTATAATCTATGGGCTTTTTAAATAAAATTAATTCAGCTGCTGTGTGGTTATTCAGCATAGACAATTTAAACACGATAATTTACATTAACTCTTGATTATGCAATGATACCCACAGAAACAAGCTACTTGGAAGCGGTACATGAAAACACCTTATTTGCATAAAAATTGCTCAGCACAGCTGTTAGGTTAAAATGAAAGCTACAGTAGTGCTGTGCCTGCCCGCCTGGCAAGTTTGATCCCCAGTACCGAAAAAATAAATAAATAAACAAATAAATAAATAAAATGAAAGCTAAAGTTGACCTGCATTCACAGACTTCATTTACATAAAAACTTTCAAAAAAGAAACATCCGTCTCACCATGAACTAAAAATCATTGTTGAAAATGAGTTTATAATCATAGCTAATGATTACTTGCACAGCATATAATTTTTGTAAAACTCCTTTTTATGAGTAATTGTAAGAAAAGTAAAGCACATATTACATAATTCATCATGTGATTATAAAAAAACCTTTTAACAGGGAAGTAGGTCATTGAAAAAACCAAAATTACTGCTATTAAAATTATTGAAACAGTATTTAAAAAAACAAAATTACTCATCTTACAGTAGTAAACCTAATCATAAACTCTATGCTGTTCAATGTTATGAACTGCTTGTCTTTCAAACTGCTATTCTTTAAAGTAAAACTGGTTTCAATAGAGAAACTAAGATGTGGGGAGAGTCTTTTCAGTAACCTGAGCTGTAATATCCTGGGGTGAAAGGGTATAATTTGTGTTCTAATCATTCAGTTAGGTAGAAGACTTTTCTGTTTTCCACAATATTTATTAGCAACTCTGGTTCTTTTAACTTAAATTTTTTTATCAAATGCCTATTTATTTTATTTTATTTTTTTGAGTCTCACTCCCTAGTAGTTCAGGCTAGCCTTGAACTCACAGCAATCTTCCTGCCTCAGCCTCCTAAGCACTAAGATTACAGGCCTATGCCACCATGCCTGACTGCCTATTTTTTAAATCTTTGAAAATTAACCCCCCAAATGTCTTATTCTATACTCCGCTCTGTAACTACTACCCTGATCTGTGTCTGTTCGTTAATAATAGAATTTTCAAATAGATATGAGTTACTTTTTAAAAAAAAGACATAATTAGGTCTAATACCAAAACTATTGCTTCTTTGCTCATTGCTTCTCAGTGCACGGTGTCACTGTAGATGCTCAGCACCACCTACCACAGATCATTAACCACACATTAACTATACCACCACATCTATCTGCACTGACAGAAGTCAGTATTTAGTAACTGCAATACTTCTCTGAAGAGCCTACAGAACTGTGCCTATCATAAACGTGTAAATATTAACTGGCAGGATGTAAATATCATAAATATACCTCAATAAATTACCGATATATATATATATATAAATTTAAATAAAGAGTGAAGTTTATCAGCTTTTTAATCTTACTTTTCTCTTTTGGTATGTTATTTATAGTAGGCTCATGACCCCAAAGAAATTGTCTTTCCATTTGTTAAACACAAAAAGGGTTCACTGCAATCTTTAAAATCTGAATGTGATACCATTTTTTGTTTATGATTCAAAGATCCACACAGGCAGGGCATGGGAAGGCCAGTATTTAATTGTGGAACAAATAAAAAGCACCAGGCATTAATGGTAAGTACCACAATTAAGTGCTGAAAACGTAAGTTTCTGCCTTTGCTTTGGCAAAACTGAGAAAAAAATATAATCAATACACCTGCTAAGTACACAACTGAGGCACACGGGAGTACCCTAACTTAGCTTCATGGGAGCCTAAGAGTGAGGCTGAGGGAGATTTTATGGTACAGATCATGGAACTGAGTTTTATTTGTTTTGTTTTTTTTTGTACCAAGGATCGAACACGGGTCCTTGCGCTTACGAAGCAGGTGGTGAAACCACTGAGCTAAATCTCCGGCGGAACAGAGTTTTAAAACAAGTAAGAAAGGGTTGAAGAAAGAGAACTCCAAACAAAAGCAACAGATAAAGGATGGCCAAGTGAGGATGGTGGTGCAGGCTTGTAATACCTGTGCTCCTGGAGGCTGAGGCAGGAGTGTCTCAAGTTCATGACCAGCCTGGGGAACTTAGCAACTTAGTGAGATCCTGTCTTAAAAGAAAAATAGAAAAACATGGCTGGGGATGTAGCTCAGTGGGAAGGCTCTGGATTCAATCCCCAGTATGGCAAAAAAACAACAGCAACAAAAAAAGAGGGAGTCTCCACTGCCTCTGCAGCTGCCAGAGTCACATGGGAGGTAGGGAATGACAGAAGTAGCCAAGCCCTGGCTCTGTGCACACTGGGGGTTTGGATTTTGTAGTGTAGGTGAGAGGGCATCAATGAAGAGCTCCAAGTAGAGGGTTTACATGTCAGATATCCCTGCCAGACCCATGCTGGGTTGCAAACAGAAGGTGGGTTTGAGACAGTCAAAACTCAAGACAAAGCTTTCCGGGCTGATAGCGCTCCTGCAAGCATGGTGAAAGTTCCTAAAACCCGGCAAACTTTCTGTAATAAGTGTGGCAAGCACCAACCCCACAAAGTGACACAGTACAAGAAAGGCAAGGATTCTCTGTATGCCCAGGGAAAGCGGCGTTATGACAGGAAGCAGAGTGGCTATGGTGGACAGACTAAGCCAATTTTCCAGAAAAAGGGCAAAACTACAAAAAAGATTGTGCTGAGGCTTGAGTGTGTTGAACTCACCTGCAGATCTAAGAGAATGCTGGCTATTAAGAGATGCAAGCATTTTGAACTGGGAGAAGATAAGAAGAGAAAGGGCCGAGTGATCCAGTTCTAAGCTTCATCTTTTGTGTTATTATGAAGACAAATAAAACCTAGCCATGTTCACTTCAAAAAAAAAAAAACTCAAGACAGGAAGACCCATTAAAGGGTCACTTCAGGAGTCAAAGCAAAACTGATGCCTCAGGTATGGAAGAGATGACAAGTAGGGAAAACACTGAGAAATGCTTGAAAATCACTGGAACTTTGAGACTGATTAAGTGAGAAGACAAGAGAGAAGGGATTAATGACTAGATTTCTAGCTGGTAACCATTTTCCCACATCCTTACTGCGTACACATGCACAGACACATTTTGCACACATGGCACATAATTATGACGCAGTCATTTTCCCCTCCTGCCTCTCACTGACATATACAATGTTAAAAATCCATGTTTTTTATAATCATTTAAACATATATATAAATATACTTATATAAAGATATGTACTCACCTTTATAATTTCTAATTTAATCACACAGTTTAGAGACCTATAATAGTGGCATAATATTCCATATCAAGGATGGAGCACATCTGGTCATTTACCTACTGATAAGCTAGGGTTTTACCCAAAAGACTATGCCAATTCACATTTTTCACCAGCAATGTGTAAAAGCCATTTTCTTAATTCTAGATTTTAAAAATATTTCACTTTAAGAAATAGAAGAAATGGGGCTGGGGATTTAGCTCAGTGGTTCCGGTGCCTGCCTTGCAAGCACAAGGTACTGAGTTCAATCCCAGGTATCAAAAAAAAAAGAAATAAAAGAAATGCCAGGCATGGTGGTGCACCCCTGTAACTCTGGAAGTTGAGGCACAAGGATCACCCCGAGTTTGAGGTCAGCCTGGGCTACATATTGAGTTCAAGGCAGCCTGAACTACATAATGAATGAGACCCTGTCTCTAATAAACAAAACAAAACAAAAAAAGTGAGGGGGACAGGGATTTAGCTCAGTGGTGCTGCCGCTTGCCTTGCAAGAGCAAGGTCCTGAGTTTGATCCCCGGTATCAAAAAAAAGGAGGGAAGAGAGACAGAAAGATAGGGAGATTGGAGGGGAGAGGGGAGAGGGAAGAGGAAAGAAGGGAGAGACGAGAGAGAGAAGACAGGGAAACATACATGACACCCCATATAGGGGAGGCAACAGGAAGGTAAAAAGAAAATGAACTGGGAAATCAGAGAGCTGGGTTCAAATTCTGTTCTATTTTGATTTTAATCTTCCTAGAAATGATTCACTCATTTATTGACTCTGTTAGTTTCCTTATTACTGAAAACAGATACATATTAGGTACCTCAGGGTTGTTACCAACAGAAAATAAAATAAGCACCAAATAAATGTCAGTTCCCTTCCCCTTCCTCCACAGAGAAGAAACTGTAGAGAAACACCTTCAGAGGGACAGCTCTCATGCTTCTGTATTCTTCTCACCCTCGGCACGCAATAAAGCTGTATTTAATGACCTCAGTTTACCAGGTTCTGGGCTAGATGCCGGTGATCCAAAAAAACAAAACTTAAAAGAGTGTTTTAAGGTCTCTACAATTCAGTATTCTGGTTCCTTATTCCACTTTAGAAGATTTATTACTAGTGAGGTAAATTTCAAGAGCATCACTGATTAGTATTAACAGAGATCAAGGATTGTCCTCCAAATAGTCTTCTAGTTCTACTGGAAAGAAGTGCATGTATTAAAAACAACTTTCATCATAATTATTCATTTATAACAAAATAAAGAAATTAATAAATGTAAATAATTTCCACTCCAGGAGATGGAATTTCATCTTTCCTCCCCTTAGTGACTTCCACGGGAATATGAAAAGCGGAAAACATTACCTTTACAGTGGAGACACCCACTAAACTAAGTGATTGAGGTTAATCCTGGAACTGAAAAAGGGCATTAATAAAAGTGGTGAAATCAGATAAAGTTTGGAGTTCAGTTAATAGTACTGACCAATATTAATTTCTTAGTTTTGACAAATGAGCAATAGTTGTGTAAGAAATTAACATCTGGGAAAATTGGGTGAAGGGTTTACAGGAATGCTGTACTATCTTTGTAAACCTGTACTAGCAATGTAAACGTAAATGTACTCCAAAATTTAAAAATTATTTAAAGATAAAAGGAATTGCATCCAACAGTTTGCAGATTTTTATAATGCACATCACATTAATCAGCACTATATAAATATTCTTTCAACATTGTCTTAGCCCTTATATTGCAAGCTGCAAAGTTCTCATTGGGTAATTTCTCTCAATCCTTTTTCAATGAAAGTCTGATTTTATTTATTTTGCTTTGCTTTAAAAAGAGAGAAATGTTTGCAAAGTTTGAAGGCACTTTAATTGGTTTCAACACCCTAAATGATATGATCAACATGAACAAACCAATAAGCAAGTTCACTTACACAAGTTGTAACATAAACATATTTTTATTTTGTAACATAAACATATTAAAGAAAACAAACTTTAGGTAATGCTAGACTATGCCTCAATTTCTAAAGTATTCAAGACTTCTAGGCTAACACTAAATCTCCACTCACTCAAAAGTTTTCTGACTCAGGTCTTAATTCGCATTAATGCTAGCATTTTTTCATCATTTATGGCAGGGCCTGGGATTTAGCTCAGTGGCGCCGCGCCTGCCTCGCAAGCTCAAGATCCTGAGTTCGATCCCTGGTACGGGGGTGGGGGTGGGAAATTACCAACCTAAAATGGTATGGTAATTTCCTTAAATACCATAACAGTAACCGAATATCTGAGAAAGGGACTCTCCTTATCTCAGAATCATAAAAACCCCACAGTAGCAAAGATTAGTCATCATTTCGGCTCACACCACTACACAACTGAAGCGTGGTGCAAATAAAACTCATATATTAAAGAAACTCAAATAGTCAATTTTAACTACTCCAACACCCTTGCACCCCACCCCCCAACACACACTCGCCAAGACCACAGGCACACTCTAAAAGAAAAGGACTTATGGTCCCTCTTCAAGAACCTTACTCATAATCACTACTCGCTGAGGTGTATGAACCCGAGTCGCTGACTCGATCTTCACCATTACAGTCCTCATCTTCTTCTTGTAAAGAGGGGCCTCCAGAGAGTTGGTCTGGGCTCCCACGCGAGTCGCACAAAGCCGGAGACGCCATAGTCATGGATGCACCAAGTACAGGAATTCAAATCTTTAAACTACGGCCTACGGGAGCCGCCATGTTGCCTCTGCCAGAGACAGGGCCGAGGGCACGTGACCATCAATGCTTATCTGCAATTGGTGGCGGCTCGGGTTGCCAGGGAAACGGAGAAGCGTCCTAGAAAGGACAATGTGGAGGGCTGAAGGAGCCAATAAACTGAAATTTCCAGGAAGGCATTCCAGTTGGAGCAATGGAGGCAGCTAAAACTTAACCGTTTACTCCACCCTAAACGCTGTCCCTTTAGAGCCGCGTAACTTTATTACACCAAGGAAGAACGACTGTTTTTTGTTTTCCCCTTTTTTTCAAGGGCTAGATGTCTTCTAGTTTGCACTTTGTCCTGTTTTTCTAGGCCAACTTGAGCCTTAGAGGTGTTCAGCCTGGGTTTTTTTTTAGAGCTAAAGGAAATGCCTTTCCTTAGGGACTCTGCATCAGTGCAAGGGATAAACACTTTAAACACCCCTAGGTATGAATGTAAATGCGCTCAATTATTTCTATGCATATGCATGTTTTTTCAGTTACATTTTTACAGTTTTCCCAAGTAGATACTATAGAGTGCTTCAAATGGATGGCAATACAGTAATGTTAAATCAACTTCATGTTTATTTTCTAACACAAAATTTATGATCTGATGACATTCTCATCGCTTAATTTGGGAATATAAACAGGCAAATTGTACTGTCGTTTGTGAATACCCTCACCAAGTATTTTTTAAGTACAAAATAAGAGGTATCATTGATTTGAAAGTCAGCCATTGTTCAAATTGTTTGCTCTATCCATATACAGTACTATGTTAAGTATTCACACACGATGAAGTAAATATTTTCTCTATTTTATGATAAGGGAACAGTCTTAGGTAACACATCCTGTTAATGGTTACATGGCTAGCAGGCAACAAAGCCAACCAAGAGATGAATCTCAGCCATTACACTACATTACATTTTCTCCTCAGGACCCAGTAGAGTTTAGTAACCACCTTTTCCATGGTTTTGCTTTCCATGATTTCAGTTACTGGGGTCAACCAAAGTCAGAAAATATGAAATGAAAAGCTCTAGATGCGAACAATACATTAAGTTTTAAATTGTGCGCCATTCTGAGTAGCATCATGGACTCTCAGTCATGTTCCATCTGGCCTGGATTATGAATCTTCTCTTTGGCCAGGATATGGATGCTGTGTACAATATGCCATAAGTAACTTAGTAGCTAACTGGGTTATGAGATATTCTGTCATGTTACTAGTACCACAGTGCTTATGTTCAAGAAAGATCAATAGGGCTGGGAATTTGGCTCAGTGGTTCTGCTGCTTGCCTCGCAAGTGCAAGGTCCTGAGTTTGATCCCTGGTACCAAAAAAAAAAAAAGAAAAGAAAGATCAAAAGATCAATAGTAGGTTAATACTAGGTCAAAAGGCCTAAGTTATTACCTTTCTTCATCTCATTTTCAAGACTCTACTTTTACACCATGATCAATACAGAAACCTTCTGAGGGAGAGAGAGAATTTCTAATCTGAAAATCAAAAATCCAAAGTGCTCCAAAATTGGTACCTTTCTGAACACCAATACGACACCACATGTGGAAGAATTCCACACCTCACCTTACTGACAAGTTATAGTCAAACTGTAGGCAAACTAAAGATATTGTATGAAGTCACATTCAGGGGCTGGGAATTTAACTCAGTGGCACACTGCCTGCCTTGAAAGTGCAAGGTCCTTAGTTTGATCCCTGGTACCAAAAAAAAAAAAAAAGTTACACTCAGGCTACGTGTATAATGTGTATGTAAAACTTAAATGAATTTTATGGGTTTTTTTCTGGTACTGGGGATCGAACAATGAATTTTATGTTTAAACTTGGATCTCATCCCCAAGAAATTTCATTATGCATATGCAGATAGTCCAAAATTTAAAAATTCAAAATACTTGTGCTCCCAAGTGTTTTGGATAAGGGCTACTCGACTGGTATAGAATGCACTAATACTCAAGATTTCAGGTATCCACTGGGATCTTGGAGCATATCCCCTGCGGATAAGGAGGAAAGGGAAACTACTGTAATTCAACCATTAGAAAAATCTATGTTAAGAAAATAAGGGATAGAAATAAGCTATAAGATCTGTAAGAGTTAAAAGCTGAAAGCAGTCTAAACAGGGGAATGTGAAATGAGGTGTTTGTTTGGTTGGTTTTTTTGAGACAGGGTCTCACTATGTAGTTCAGCCTGGGCTTGAACTCACGATGTAGCCCAGACTTGAACTCCTGCCTCGATCCTCCTGCCTCGGCCTCCCTCGGCGCACCAGCGTGCTCTGCCTCGGCCTTCTGTGGTGATCCTGGAGTGCTCCAGGTGTCCGTCCAGGTGCCCGAGGCTGAGTGCCGGCCTCGTTCCTGCGTCCCAGGTCTGGGTCACCCCTGGGGTTGTCTGGCTCAGTCGGGGGCCGTTTGAGGGATGGAGTGTAAGGGAAGAGCCTAGCCCGACCTCAATGCGGGCTGGGGGGTGGGTTGTCCTCTCCAGTGCTGTTCTCCTCTGTTCAGGTGGATAGGGGATAGGGGTTCTTGCGTGTGCCACCACGCCCAGCAAAATCACTTATTCAAAAAATGGTTAATATTGTGAGTTGAAGTAGACATATTTTCAAATAGAAATCTATTAGGGAAATGTTTATGTTAAAATAAAAGGATAGAACATTATTTCATAATCTCAAAGGATAGGTGCTGGAGATTCAGTTTAAACTAGACGAATAGATGAATACTGAAAGGCAAATGGGCCATTACAACATATTGTCATAATTTATAAAAAACACAGGGTTCTAATGGAATACCCTGAGAAACCCAAGCTAGCAGGTGAGGATCCACAATGTCTTAGAGGAAGTCTTAATTTATCTTATTATGAGATATTTCCAGCAGAGAAGAGTAGCGTGTGACCTACCCATGGTGGTTATTTACATATAGAACACAAAAAAGCTTGAATAGTAGCAGTCAAACATTGTTTATACTTTTTTTCTTGGTACTGGGGATCGGGAGGCAGGTGGTGGACATTGTTTATACTTTTAAGCTACAATTTAGTTTCATTTAGCACATTAAATTATGTAAGTATGAATTTCCTAGGTTTTATGTTTTAGTTGTATACATTTCTAAATGTGCTCTTTTATAGTTGTATAATTACTATTGAATTTTATTTCATACTTTATTTGTATCAATTCACAAAAATTATTACTTTTTTTTAATCTTATACCAGAACTAAAAAGCATAATGTATAACTTGTTTCTTTAAAATTATAGTAAGTTTAAGTCATCTTTGGAAATCCACAAGAGCTTTTTTTCCATTGGAAGATGTCCACATATTATCAAAGTTGGAGAACAAGAGACTAGTTTGTAAAGGGGTAATAGGCAAAAAGAGATCCTTGATGAGAAGATGGTGTCCCTAAGACTGGAAGGAAGGGCCTTCCAATGGATTCTGAAGTGCCAATTTCCTGCTGGAGGCTGAAGCAGTCTCCATGTGATACAGTTTACTTTCTCTGGTAAGAAGGCAAGCAACCTTGCAGGCCAAAAATGAAGGAGGAAGCAATGGGCTGGACAGTTGAAGTGAGTAGAGCCAGAAAGAAAGGGAACAAAAATGTCCATCAGCATTGTGATCGTAAATAAAAATGTATCATTTTTAAAATCAGAAAATTTATTAAAAAGTTGTAGTCATTATAATAGTTACTTTATGTTTCTGGTAAAACATATGTACTTATTCTCACCATAATCTCAAATGTTAAAAATTAGCTAAGATTCCGTTCCAAAATTTAAAAAAAAAATGCTTCAGGCATCAATTTTTTTATTGGTGCATATTAGAACAGAATAATGAGCTTCATGATGGAAATTGGTACATGTGTATATCATGTTTGATTCTTTTCATGCCCTTTATCTCCTCTCCCTTCCCAAAACCCCTCCTCATCAATAGAAGATCTTCTGGTTTTTTGTCCTCTCTCTTTAGGCACCTCTGTAATAAGTCTTTCTTCATTTTTAAAGCAACTTATTAGGAGAAAAATGACATTTTAAATTTTAGAAAAATATCACAGTTTTCTTCCCACAAACAATATTCTATTATTTCTCTAAGTATCTAATAATTTGGCACTGTACACATAAATCTCTAATGGCAACTCATTAAGTAGAGAATTAAGTCCAAATTCTATATGCAGTATCTTTAAAAAAAATTTTCCCTAATACTACAAATGAATGAGCACCAATTAGGAGCTAGATACTTTATTTCCCCACTGTATCTCAATCAAGATTATCAAGTATGTTCAACTTGCCTGATGGAAAGAATATCTGAGGCTTAATAAATATGCAGATTATGAGGGGCTGCCCCACATCGGTGGGATCAAAATTTCCAGAGGGGACTGGTATTTCTATTTTAAATAAGTGCTCTGGTTGATTCAGTGAACTTGGAAAGCACTGCCCCAAGCTTTCCCATGTATAATGGTGCATTGTTTAACATGTTTCGATATGCAGTTCTGGGCTTCCTAACACAGGCTCACTGTCACCTCTTCAGTAGACTGAAACCACTCCCACCCTCTGAATTTGAGCCTGGCAGACAGACTTCTCCCTGCTCCAGAATCCACTGTCTGTATCACCTTGAGCAATTCAACCTGTGTCATTTTCCTTAACTGTAAGTTCAGATACTGGTACATATTTTACAGGACCATTTGGGATCCAATGAGTTAATGCATGTGCAATACTTAGTACATAAAGTGTCAGTAAAACTTAGCTATTTTATATCTTTTACTCACACAGTTCTCTCACAGGGGACTGATACTTCTCCAAAATTCACTCTTTAAACTATGGAAATACAATAGTGCATTTTCCTTCAAGATCCTATTCAAGGAGCACCTTTCAAAAAGCTTTCCCAGACACCTCTCCTACCTCTGTAAGAACTCCTCTTTCCATCTTCCCCTTTAATATAGCCCATAAGGTTCTGGTGTAACTAACGTCAGTCTGTCTTGTATTTTATAGGAATTAATTTATCTTTGCCACCAAACAAAAATCTGCCAGAGAACAGGACTGATTGTTTTTGTGGTACTGGGGATAAAACC